GAAGACCAAACACAAGGCAGATCCCAACAGAAAGACACTGATCTCCAGACTCGGGTGATCGGGGCCTTGGAGAACAGAGATAAGGGTGAGGGTCTATGGAGACAGTGCAGAATGAGAAGATAGTTGAGAAAAGTTCCTGCAACTCAGTGGTCCACACAGTGTGTGGAGGAAGGAGAGTCACTGCTGGATTTATAGGTCCTGAGAGGGTACAACTTGCTAGTGGGAACTGTTCCAGAGACAGAACATAAGAGCACCTTATGAGAGCCCACAAACTGGTGGACCTGACTGCTGATGGGTTTGGCTAAGACCGTGGTGTTCTCATCAAACTTAGTCAAGATTTTAGGGTGAGAGACTTTACATTAAACAGACTTCTCATAATTTCTGGAGTAATCAGATGATTGACAGCTCTGAGCAAGGTGCTCCCACCCCCGCCCCCGCCCCCGCCCCCCTCTCTGCTGGCCATTAGCAGCAGAGCTTCCCTTTTATTGTAGTGTGAGGACTCTCTAGTTCCCCATTTATCCACGACACCTTAACAATTTGCCAACATTGAAACCAGGGGCAAATACTTGGTCCTCACTTTGACTGCAACATTTCACCTTATTTTACAGAAATATCTTTCCAAAATGGAAAAAAGAAAAGATGGAGCAAGACAGTGGCGGGTTTTGTTAGTATTGATTTACAGTGGAATCGCTTTGTTAATTTTGATAGCTGGTTCCTGTGAGGGTTCGGGCTTGATGTGTCTGCTGCAAATCAGGGCTATCAGTGTGTCCCCAGCATCTTAACACCTGTGATACTCGACATCCACATTCTGAATATAGAAGGGAGGGAAGGGATGGAATGAAAAGGAAAGAATCAAGGATGAAGCTCTGGGGCTGAAGTGGGAGGGGAGGGGAAGTGTTGGAAACAGGCAGGTGCCAATCAATGACCAAAGAAGGACTAGTTCTGACTGTACATGCCCCAGAGCTTAACCACATGCCACTTGCTTATAAGAGGAGCCTTTGTAAAACAGACAGAACATCTTAACTTTGGAGCCAAGATACATCCTCTTCCTATATGGGAGGGGTGTTTCCATCCCTTTTAGAACTGAAGCAAAATCAGACCTGTAAGGTTTGCTCCATTTGTGGCTGAAGAACTGGTAGTTCCAAAAATAGCTTCTCAAAATTATACAGGAGCACCAAAGGACAACAATTTCAAGCAATTCAAGTGACGTGACATTTATCACATTGGTAGATGCAGAAATCTTGAACTTGGAGACAGACAACAGAAATGGTCTCACCTGGGCCTTGGACCCTTGACACCTTAGCCGCAGGGTCCTGACAGCAGCATCTGAACTGTTGTCAGCTGGTTTAAAAACATGAGCAGATGGTATATACTTTCTTACAGCAAGTGTCCTTGATCCCACTGAAGTCTTTGAGTTTTGGAGAATCTTCCTGGTAGTGGCACATTTTGGTAGACAAAACCATTCAAAACATCCACAGGAGAAAGTTGCATGGACTGGGCTCCTTGTAAAGTATTTGAGAGCAAACAGAGAAGCCAGGAGACTCACTACCGTCTACCCTAGAAGTTCTTTCTCTGTGCTATGAGGCCCGTCTGATGATACCATCTTTCCTCCCAAGACCAAGAAGGCAATAGGGTGGCTAGTTTGAAATTGAGCTTGGGGCTCAGATGGAAATGGTCTGAATTCTGTTTCTGTCTCTGTAGCTTTGGTGCCTGGTGTAGTTTCATTTCTGTTGTGTGATAAAATACCCTGATAAAAAAGCAACTTAGGAGAAAAGAATTTATTTGGCTTAAAATTCTAGGTTACAATCTATCATAGTTAAGGATTCAAAGCTAGAGACCACATGTTAACAAATAAAATCCCAGTAACAGAAAGAGTTATCTATTTTTGAGTTGTTAGCAATGGGGTCCCATACAGTCAATATGCTTTAGAACTTGATGATAAGACCATAGTTCTGAAGACTCCAGAACAGGAGAAATCAAGCTGGTACTGACCTGGAAGCTTTCACGGTGTTATGCATGATACAGAAGGAGAAAATTAATTAAAACGAAAATGTGATAAAAACAGAAAAAAAAATCAGTTTCGCACAGTTTTAAATCCTGAAATAATAGGAATAAGAACTTGTGACTACATAGGTCATAGGCAGGTAGGGGAGAAAAATTCAAAGATAATACTGTTTTGCTAAACTTATTGCTATAGACCAGTGCATCTCAACTACCATAAGAGAAGCTTCTTCTTGCAGCAGATAGTAATGAACACAAAGACTCTCAACCGTTCAGTGTGCAGAAAATAATGAGATTCTGGCATGCTCAGCCCTAAATGGTACCTACATACCATCACATCCTTCCCCACAAGACTCAGGGATCATTGTGGAAAAGGGGATGAAAATATTCTAAGAGCCATAAACCATGGATGACATCAAGGAAACAGTGTTTTCTGGACACAACAGGGCAGTTTCAGACATGAACTCAAATGACTTGTGACAGCAAGCACAAGACCTGGGAAATCTCAAGGCAAATAAAATTCCAGGATGGAAGTAGGAGGTGGCATGAAATTCTACCACTAGCCTAGGAGTTAGTGCGTTTGATAGATGCAGGAAGCGGGAGTGTTATTTTTCTTCAACGATTTGACCATGGTAGGTAGACCACACTCTAGGGCAGACTCTCCTTCAGAATGTAGTTGGGCAACATAAACCAGACTTGATGCAGATAGGACAGAAAACTCAAAGACAGGTAGGTAGGGAAGGAAGGGTGAAGAGGGTGGATATAGGAGGAGCTGATGGTGAGTATAATCAAAGTATATTGTTTGAAATTCTCATAAGTTGATAAAAATAGTTAGAAAAAGTTAATCCCTGTAGACATGGCCACTGATCAACTGAGTGTCCACAGTCCCTCCCTCTTTCCAGGTGACTCTGGATTATATCATGTTGACAATAAGATAACTGTCACAACAATCTTGGACTTGCTGATGCTAATTTCTGCCCTTTAGCATATGCTTCTCAGGGATACCATGAAATTAGAATAGATAAAACATGCAAAGTGTTTTGCTTGCTGTTTTTATGTCAACTTGACAGAAGATATAGTTATTTGGGAAGAGGAAATCTTTTGGGAGAATGCTCTCACCAGATTGGCCTATGTGGGGAAATTTTCTTGATTGATTATTGATGTGGAATGGCCTAGTCTATTCCTGGTGGTGTCACTCCTAAGCAAGTTGCCCTGGGTGGTTTAAGCAAACAGCCTGAACGAGCTGCAACCAGCAAGCCAATGAGCAACACTCCTCCATGACCACTGTCCCAGTTCCTACCGTCATGCTCCTGTCCTGAATTCCTAACTTGACTTTCCTGAACAATGAACTATAAGCTGTAAGATGAAGCAAACCCGTTCCTCCCCATGTTATTTTTAGTGTTTTATCACAGCAACAGAAACCTCAAGTAAGACTACTGCTTAGCACTGGGGGTGGGGGGGTTAAGTACATGTTATGCTTCCTATTTTTCTTGATGTCCTTGGTCTTCTAAGGCACTTCCATTTAGCCCCACTTGGTATAAGTAGTCTGGGTCCAGCTTATCACTGTTTTTATTGATAGTGGTAGGGAAACTTCATAAAACTCAATGACAAAACTCATTCCTCTTGTCATTCATTCATTATCAACTCATGGAAACCTGTTATTGCTGTTTTATGATTGACTTATATAGAGCACTTGACCACACAAATAACAGAAGACATGAACTCAAGTCATCCAACATGAAACCCAGGATTAACTGTGGGGCTGATTACCTCACATCCTAGTTTTCACTTGAAGACTTTTATCCATGTGCCCAAACCTCAGAATTTGTGTTCTATTTCCCACCCATGCTTAGGATGTGTCACAGTGCAAAGTTGAGAATGCAAACCGCATGCCTGTCTTAGTCAGGGTTTCTACTCCTGGACAAAACATCATGACCAAGAGTTGAAAGGAAAGGTTTTATTCAGCTTATATTTCTACATTGCTGTTCATCACTAAAAGAAGCCAGGACTGGAACTCAAGCAAGTCAGGAAGCAGGAGCTGATACAGAGGCCATGGAAGGATGTTTCTTACTGGTTTGCTTCCCCTGGCTTGCTCAGCTTGCTTTCTTATAGAATCCAAGACTACCAGTCCAGGGATGCCACCACCCATAATGGGCCCTCCCGACTTGATCATTAACTGAGGAAAATGTCTTACAGCTGGATCTCATGGAGGCATTTCCTCAAGGGAGGCTCCTTTCTCTGTGATAACTCTAGCTTGTATCAAGTTGACACACAAAAACCAGCCATTACAGTGCCTTTGTGAACATGACCAGTTTTCTGGAATTCTTTGCTTCTCTATTAGTGAATCATAGAGTCAGTTACACTGTATTGACTAAATTTGTAAGTGCTGGCCATGGTACCTATCATCTAGAAATACTAAGTAAAGGAGAGATATAGTTTCCTCCTCCTTTTCTCCTACTGTACATTTGTCCTTAACAGCTGTAGTCATCAGCATCAGCATCAGCCTCAGCATAGTCAAGGGAGGAGCTTTGAGTTTTATGAGTCTTCTTTTCACGTATTGTCATTCCCAGGAGTGACATTCATTTTAGATTCATTCTAGTGATATGTGGGCCAAGTTAACAGAGAGATTACACAGTAACTAGTCATAGGAACATTGAGGATCTCATAAGACAGGACTCATATCGTGACTCCTCATTTTATGTATGTCTTATTATGCCAAACTATACAATGCTCAGAGTCTTAGGTTTCTGCCCTGTGAACTGGGAATGGTCGCCTGTGAATTTCATAGACCTCACTAGACTTAAATAGGTCAATATATGATGATCACAGAATGGGTCTCATGCTGTAGTGACCCGTCTGGTCTCATCTGAGCCTGGCATCTTCTTGGGCACACATTCCAGGATCTCCAGGCCTATCCTGGGCTGCTGCCTCTGATGGAGACGTGGTATTGGAAACTGCATCCTGTCCTCATGTGTTCTGTGTTTGGTTTTGTCTCTTAGGAAAAGCACCTCATTTCCTGCGACTCCAAAACGTTGAGGTGAATGTGGGGCAGAATGCCACCTTTCAATGCATTGCAGGTGGGAAGTGGTCCCAGCATGACAAACTTTGGCTTCAGGTAAGAGTTGGAGAGACCCTTGTTCACACCATTTCCTCCCTTTGCAAAAAAGAAATTATGTGTTGTGAAGAAGGGTGTGGTGGGCGAGGGGTGTGGCCATTTCTAAATATCTCTGCTCCTTGGACATTGCTCTCCAAACATGCTGTTGTGAGCTCTTAGCTACTGTTCTGCTAGGTTGGCATTTTATAGATAAGGAAACTAATGGCAATATAAAAGCTCTAGTTCTAGAGTTTGTCAATACAAACTGCCCAACAAGCATTTGTTTTTAAAAACTTTGTTTTTAAAGCTACCATTACTAAAGCTAAGACAAATGGAGTATCTTATGGTTTGAGTTTGTGACATCATTGATCCATGACTAAAAGGTACCTGGATTTCTGGGTGAAACCATTACTCTTTTCTTAGAAAACATCCCTGAAATGAACAGTCTGTTCCCTGGCTGAATGAGGCCATCACTGAGTAGAGTCCATTGGGACAGTGTTTTAATCCTGAATCCACTTCCGTTTCATTTCTGCTCACTGATCCTACTTGCCTAGCAAGATGAAAGAACATTTTTATGGATGGGTACAAAGCCAGAAGATGGGACACAGAATGAGAGCATCCATTATGATAGCACTGTCATGCTCTTGTCAGTGTGAACACAAATATAAAGTTCTGAGCTAATCTTCTCCAGGACTTGTCCATCATTCTCTCTCTCTCTCTCTCTCTCTCTCTCTCTCTCTCTCTCTCTCTCTCTCTCTCTCTCTCTCTCTCTCTCTCACACACACACACACACACACACACACACTAAAATACACACACATACATATACACATACATTTCCATTCCTTTTAAGAACGTCTTGTTACGCAGCCCAGGCTGGCCCCAAACCTGTTGTCTTTTTGCCTCAGCCTTCCAAGTGCTGGAATTACAGGAGTAAGCCACCATATTTAGCTTCCATTTAATACCACATATTTTCAAGCAACTTGAAGATAATTGAGATGTAAACTTTAAGGAATACAACTTGACAAATTTAGTCTTTTTGTATGTAAATAGTTTCACAATCAAGATAATGGACAGTGATGTCACCTCCAAAGTGTCCTTGTCCCCATTATTAATCTCTTCTCTACTCCAGTGTGTAATAAATAACCACTGGTTTGTTTCCTGACACTATGCATTAGTTTATGTATTCTAGAACTTCATATCAATGTAGGGCTTAGTGGAATGGATCAATGGATGAGGATTAGAGTTCAGATTCCCAGAATGTATACAAATCCTGTGTGGTAGCTCGGAATTCCCAGTGTCCCTGTGGTGACATGGGAGGTCGAGTCAGGAGAATCCCTGAAAGCAGTTGGGCCAGATAGCATGGAGAACAGCAATGAACACAAGAGGCTGACCCTCTTAAAACAAGGTGGAAGATGGGGGACCAATGCCTGAGGTTGTCCTCTGATCTCCACATGTCTGCTGTGGCACTTGCATGGTTTTAAACACACATGAACATGTACACACACACACACACACACACACACACACACACACACCACACCACACACACACAGAGTGGGGAAAGGAATCATGCAGTATTAAGGTCTTTCCTTAATAATTCTAAGGTGAGGTCCATTTACATCATTGCATGTATTAAATTTTTAATTTAGGTAGGTTGTTCTTAGGAATAATCTATTCTAATAATGAAATATTGTAACAAACCACATATAATGATTTTCTCATCTATTAACCTATTGATGGCTAACTGTTTCATTGTTTTCCATTTCTATCTGTTAAAAAGAATCTGTAATAAACATTACTATGCAAATCTATATGTGTATACATATTCTGTCATTTCCCTTGGGTAAATGTCTAATAGTGAAATGGCCAGGTCTTGTGTAGATGTGAATTCAACTTTCTGGAGAACAAAGGGCTGTTTTTAAGCTCAGTTGAATCCTTTACCGTTGCCACCAAGCCGTCTATACAAGTTATTCCACACCCTCACTGACACGCTGATCAGTCTTTTCAATTCAAATAGGTGATCATTTGATACCTCAACGTGATTTGAAAGTTTGTTTCCCTGATGACCAATGATGTGAAACATGTTTGTTTGATTGTTTGTTTAGTTGGTTTTTGTTTTGTTTTGTTGTGGTTTGGCTCAGGTAAACTCTATCTACATTCTGATGGCAGTTCATTCTGTCATCTCTCTCTTAAATTTGAACCTTCACTCTGCTGTTGAAAACTCCCTGGCAAAGCTTATCCAGACACTAACAATTTCTCCATGGTACTTATGTCCCTTTTGTGTCACTCAACTTTGAGTAGTGCTATTGACTCTGCTTTCATTGTAATTAAAGAACATTTTGCTTTGAAGACTCACATCATTGCGATGGCATTGACTCCACTGGATCATAAGAATGAGGTAGGGCAATCACAATATTTTTCAGCAACATTATTTGGGTATTCCAATTATTATAAGGTCAGTATTGCTCCAAGTACTAACTGGCATGCACTAAGCCTTACTTCTGTATACAGGAAGATGTTAAAATTGAGCCAAAACATCCATTTTGAAGAAAATAGACAGAAATACACACTATGGAGGTCTTTCAGATTTTTATTTACCTATCTACTTTTCAATGTTTTTCAGGTGGCTTAGAAAGGATACAAAGCAAGATGAGATAGTGTAAATTAAAAGGGGAGGCATCACAAGACAGGAAGAGCACATGAAAACTGCTTCTCAGGCTATGACTACATTTCTTCATTCCCATTGCTGGCTTTCAGGTCACAAGTGGGATGTCTGAGCACCACAGCCGCCTGTGGGATAAAGGAAGCTTGTCAGATATACAGTTTACAACGTCTGCGAGATAAACACAAACCAATTGCTCAGGAAACTTCTAACTGTTGTTCACACAGAGGCCAGACAGGGAATGGTTCCCAGGAGCCCTCATAAAGCAAAGACTGTGTGATGTAATGAGCAGCATCCTCACCACAGTCTTATTGAGGGCACACAAGCGGCTTTTGTGGGTCTGCTTCACATCATAATAATACTCTGTGTGAAAGCAGGCTGAGGTGGGGGAAGGAAATGGGGGGGCACAGCTCAGGCAGGGGTCCCCAGCTTTCTGCTAATATATCTCTACCCAGGGAGGCTTTAAACTTAATACAGCAAGTGGATAGATACAGTAACTATTCCTAAAAGGAAATCTCCTTGAATACCAGCTCCCTCCTCCATATTTCAGGGAATATTGAGAAGGAAGGCATGAATACTGGGTATTCTGACAGAGGCCTATGTGACTAGTGAAATTCTATGCATACGTACAACACTGTGGTTGGAAATTGTTGGCTATATGATAGTAGTCACAGGGTAACAGAAATAACAGGACACACATATGTCCACACAAGCACATGTAGTATATAGACAAGTCCATCATTTCTGGGAGATAATTAGGGACATAAAGTCTAAAACCTTCAATGTGCATATTTTTCTAAAATTAATTTTATTTTTAGCAATTTTCTAAGGAAGTAGCCAGAAACGGGGACAGAGATATACCTGCAATTGTATACAATTGGGCAGAGAACTAGAAAGACCTAGAGTGTTCTGCAAGGGAGACTAATTAAATAAATGCAGGAATGAAGTAATTAAATGTGAGACAGTAGACAGAGACTTAATGGCGTTTTCATAGTATGTAATTAAGTGCAAAGTGCAAGCTATAAAACAGTTGATATATTTAAAATTTTAATGAAAAAACACATGTGCATACATAAATATGGGCAAAGTTATATACTTACTTATACAACATATATACCTATCCTATGTATCATGCCTTCATGTATGTATTCTTATAATACTATAAAGCATACATCAATATTACTAATTGTGATGATAGATTATGTATGCTTTTATTTTTTTCTATTTCATTGAAATATTAAAAAAGTGAACACAGGGAATTTACATAAACAAAAGCAAACGGCATTAAAAACAAGCAAAATGGTCACTTCTCCTTAGATATAAATATTCTAGAGTTGGTAGGAAGTCTTCCCTAGCGTCGAGTGGCCACTTGTAATGGAAGAGCTTGCTTCTTGGTAAGGACTCAGAGCAGTTTTCCTCGGACATACTATTCATCCAAGTGGGTGTTTAGAATATTCTGTGATGTGTCCTCCTTTCTTATCTCTACCCTCACCCCACTCTCCAGGGACTCTAGAGCAAACCTGTCAGCCCCTTCATGAAGCTGTCCTTTGAGGTCTTTCTACAAAGGGTATGCTCCACTGAGAGACATACAACCAACAATGCTTGCTGCCTCAGAAATGCTCTGTGTAGATCTCAGCAGGGTCTGTATTTGGGTTGAGACAATCACAGGCACCAGAGAGGATACGACAGGACAAGGCTCTTGTTCTGGGAGCCCTTCCCTCCAGATCAGCTGTACCTGGCTGTAAGATAAAGAGACACATCAGTCTGTCTACATAGCAGCAATGCTTCCTGTTTTCTTGTTACTTGATCCCATGGGAAAACACTGGCTACCAAAACAGAGAGCACTACGTGAAGCCTTTCCTCCCCAAACTGTTCCATATTCAATGTCCCTCTGTATAGGGCTTCTGCACGGTGGTCAGAGAAATTCAACAATGATAATAAAGCCTAGAGACTACGAATAACAGTGGACATGTCCTGGGGGCCTACACACAAAATATTTTTAATGCTCATAGCAATCGTTCAAAAGGCTGTTGTTAACAGCCCCAAAGAGTTTGTGCATTAGTGGGATTAACGAGGACTTCAGAGTCAAATTGGGATTGAGAAAGAGAGCCAGGATAAAGGTGTGGTTTGTATCCTAAAGTCTTGAGTTCATTCGCATTGCTTTGCCACACCAAATCTAATCATTCTTTGCAATTGGATCTCAGTAAGAAAAATGTAACTTCAGGCTGGGGAAATGGCTCAGTGGGTAAAGTGCTTACCACACAAGCACAGGGATCTGAGGTCAATCCTCAAGACCCATGCACATTTGTAATCCCAGAGACTGGGAGGCACACAGAAGAGGGTCCCTGCATTTTCT